GCTTGGGTGGGAAGGGATGGCTCATAGAACCACACCCAGGGCACTCAGGTGGGAGGGGACCCCCTGAAATCTGTTCAGGGAGGGACTTGGGTGGGAGGGGACCCCCAAAATCTGTCACTGGGGGATCCAGGTGGGAGGGGATGAAACCAGACCCACCCCCAGGGGGGAGGGAACCCCCCAAAATCTGTCCAGGGGGATCCAGGTAGGAAGGGACACCCCCCCAGATTTACCCCTGGGGCGCCCAGGTGGGAGGGGACCCCCTAAAACCTGTCCAGGGGGGTTACAGGGGGAGGGGACACTCGTGGGACCACCCCCGGGGCACCCAGTGGGGAGGGGACCCCCAAAAACCTGTCACTGGGAGATCCAGGTAGGAAGGGACACCCCCCCAGATTTACCCCTGGGTGTCCAGGTGGGAGGGGACCCCCCAAAACCTGTCCAGGGGGGGACTCAGGTGGAAGGGGACCCCCCAAAAACCTGTCCGGGGGGGGCTTGGGTGGGAAGGGGTCACTCGTAGAACCACCCCAGGTGTCCAGGTGGGAGGGGACCCCCCAAAACCTGTCTGGGGGGGGCTCAGGTGGGAGGGGATGAAACCAGACCCACCCCCAGGTGGGAGGGAACCCCCTAAAACCTGTCACTGGGGGGTCCCACCTGTGTGTCCCAGCCAGGGGGGGTCCCAGGGGTGGTTTTTGGGGGTCCCAGGGGTGTAGTTGGGGGTCCCAGGGGTGTTTGGGGGTCCCAGCTGTGTTTCCCCCTCCTGACCCCGCCCTTCTCCCCCCGCAGTACCTGGAGGACGGGGGGGTGGTCCCAGGTATCCTGGGGGTCCCCGGGGTGTGTTTGGGGGTCCCAGGGCTCTGTTTGGGGGTCCCAGGAGTGTTTTTGGGGGTCCCAGCTGTGTGTCCCTCCCAGGGCTGTTTTTGGGGGTCCCCGGGGTGTGTTTGGGGGTCCCAGGGCTGTGTCCCCCCCCTGACCCCGCCCTTCTCCCCCCGCAGTACCTGGAGGAGGGGGGGGTTGGCTACATCCTGAGCGGGGCCGGGAACTTCCTGGAGGACTCTCGGCCCCACGAGGGCTCCGTCCCCCCCGGCTCCCTGCGCTTCTTCTTCGGGACCCCCACGGCCCCGGGGGGGCTTCGCCCACGTTCGCCTCGAGCCCTCGGGGGCCACCGTCACCTTCCTGGAGTCCACGGGGCGGGTCCTGTACCGGGTCACCCTGCCCCCCCGGGACGTCTGACCTCTGACCCCCCGGGACATCTGACCCCTGACCCCCCCGGGACCTCTGACCCCCCAGGACATGTGACCCCTGATTCCGACCCCCCGGGACATCTGACTCTCCTGTGACCCTTGATCTCAGGGACCCCCCCCCAAGATCTCTGACCCCTCACCTGGAGGACACTGTGACCCCTGACCTCAGGAATCCCTGCGACCCCTGACCCTTGACCTTGAGGACCCCTGACCTGGGACCTCCCATGTGACCCTTGACCTGGGGGACGGTGGGGACGCTGTGACCCCTCCCTGGCCTGGGGGACACAGGGTGGGACCCCCCTGACCTCTGACCCTGGGGACCCCTGTGTCCCCTGACCTCAGGGACCCCCATGACCCTTGACCTCAGGGACCCCCATGACCCCTCACCTGGGGGACACTGTGACCCCTTCCCTTACCTGGGGGACACAGGGCTGGAACCCCGTGTCCCCCGACCCCCAATAAACGCTTTGAACGGCGCCTCCGCCTTTAACGGACCCAAAACCGCCGCTTTTCGCCCCAAAAACACGCGGGGAGGGTGGGATAACGGCTGCCCCGCCCACCCTTGCTGCTGATTGGCTGAGCTGCGCGTCAATCAATTAACGAGTGGCATAACCACGATGGTCACGTGGTTTCGGCGCCCCGCTGCTGATTGGCTGAATTGCCCGTCCATCATTCAGTGGGCGGGACAACGCTGCGAGTCACATGGGAACGCCGCGCGCCCATCGCCCAATAGGCGGCTTCAGCGCCAGGCACGTGACGCCTTAAGCCCTCCCCTCGCCGCCTATTGGATAAGACAGTGCGCCCATCGTCCAATAACCGGTGCACTGCGCGTCACGTGACGGAGAGGTCGCCGTTCCCGGTCGCTGATTGGCTGAGGGCGGTGAGGCGGCACTTCCGGGTGCGCGGCGGGAGCGGAGCGGGAGGAACCGGCGGGTCCCGGGAGGGGTTCGGGGGGTCCCGGAGGGCCCCGGGGGGGGTCGAGCCGGTCCCAGGAGGGGTCGAGCCGCTCCCGCGGCGGGTCGTGGCCGCTCCGAGGCGGCTCCCGGTGCCGCCGCCGCCGCTCCCGGTGCCGGTGCCGCCATGGGCCGCCGCAAGTCGAAGCGGAAGCCGCCGCCCAAGAAGAAGATGACGGGGACGCTCGAGACGCAGTTCACGTGTCCCTTCTGCAACCACGAGAAATCCTGCGACGTCAAGATGTGAGAAACGGGGGATG